TCCGGGGAACAGCGGGGACAACGCTCTCTCCTTCGTCTGAAGCGCTGACACTTGCCACACAATCTGACTTTCGGCCTTTGTGTCGTCGTCGCAGAATTTCCCCGTCTCTCACCTCTCCATCTTCCCACTCCAACAAACCTCTCACTGCTGCTTTTTCCGCCGTCTGGTCGTTGCACATTCTTCGTCAGCGCTGCTGAAAGCCTCTCATGGTGACCCTCATGCCTTCTCAACTCAGCAGGGTCGGGATACCTATCCGCCCCGCCACGCATCACCTCAACCACCAACGCGACCAGCCAGCAGCCGAGTTCAACAAGACACACAAGCACTCCCGCTCCTCCTATTCGGAGTCGTCTCCCCTCGTTTCCCGCAACAACTCCCTCACTTTCCGCCCCCCTAAGCGCTTCATGTCCTCACCCGACAAGACCATTGCCGTCATCAATGCCAGCGGTCGGCAGGCTGCCTCCTTCATCAGAGTCGCCACCGCCGTCGGATACCACGTCCGCGCCCAGTTGCGCAACCTCGAAGGTGTGGTAGCCACTGAAGTGAACTCAAATCCCAACGTGACCGTCCTCGTTGGCGAGCTTTACACGCGACACAAGCCCACACCCGACAACCGCGACGTCACCAAGAATGGTCCCATTTCCGGCGTAGGAGTGAACCATGACCTCATCAGCGACCTTTTCAGGGGCACGCAGCTAGCCTTCATCAACACCACCTTCTATGGCGATGAGTTCCAGATCGGCAAGGCGCTTGCCGACGCCGCCAAGAAGGCGAATATCCAGCACTACATTTACTCATCCATGGCGGGATCACTCAGCCTACAACTTGTGAGTGGCCGTCATTGCCTTTATGGGCCTCCAAGCCCCAGGTCGAGGAGTACATCCGCAAGATTGAACTTCCTGCGACCTTTGTGTACACGGGTATCTACAACAACAACTTCACGTCCTTGCAATACCCTCTCTTCTGCATGGAGCTGCAGACCGATGGGTCCTTCCGCTGGGAAGCTCCATTCCACGAAGATGTGAAGCTGCCATGGATCGATGCTGAGCATGATGTCGGGCCCGCCATCATCCAGATCTTCAAGGACGGCGCGTCAAAGTGGCGTGGCCGGCGCGTCGGGCTCGCCTGGGAAAATGCTGACGCCGCGTGAGGCCTGCAAGGTCTTCGCCAAAGGTGTTGGTCGACCCGTCAAGTATGTCAGGGCGCCTATCCACCTCAAGGTGAAGATTCCTACTGGGTATCGAGAACAGCTCGAGGCTCTGGAAAAGCTCTTCGGTCTTGGCCACGATGACCCCAAAAAGCAACCGCCATACTTTGGCGACGCCGAGCTCGACGATAGCTGCCCGGAGCAATCCATGGCGCTTTGGGAAGGGCCTCGGGGGCTGGAGGAATACGCACGGGAGGTCTTCCCGCTCGAGGAGCAAGCCAATGGTCTTACGTGGATGCTTGACGAAGAGGATTTGCATGAAGAAGTGGCCCAGGGTCACACAATTTCCCAGGAAAGGGTCGATGAAGAGCGTGGAGAAGAAGAGGAGGAGGAAGACGACGAGGACGAGGGACTCGTAATGAGAGGACTGAAGAGGGACGAAGAACAATGGCTGGCCTAACATGTCGCTGACATTGACGTGCCTTTGACTCCCAGGGTCAACAGCCAACAAGGGAAACGACAAACTTACCTGGGCATAAATACGTTCGACAGATATCCGTCTATTTTCTTTCGTGGTTGCAGGCCGTGGCGTCGCGGGCGCCATGCTGTCCTGCTGTGGAGAAGGGGGGTTTTTCATGACCTGAATGATCTATCGAGGCACTGAAGCGCGGTTGGGTTGACGACCTGCGTTTGCATAGCGGTTACAGAGGGTTTGGCTGGGCACATATTATGAGCGAAGCATAATAGTCCGTTCGACGACTCGGATGCGATTCTGGCGCGGCGTTTGGGTATCGGAAGACGAAAAAAGGTGAATACGAACACCGCACAGTCGGGGTTTGGGTCTGGATATTTGAATTTAGGAATGGATTCGCCATGGGTTGACAAGCCCAAGCAGGAAGCTGCCAACGAAATACAATCCATGGAAGATGAGACATTTTCAATCAATATCTCTCTCGCTGCTTTTTGACCTGCATTGTGTTTGGTGTTGGAACTTCGGTGAATTGTTGTCTCCACGCGCAGCATGTCACGCATAACGATGACGCAGTCGAGGGACGCAAGAGGAGGGAAAGCGGATGAGGAGCGTCGATCAACGGTCCTGCGCCTGAAGCTGAGATATATAGGTGAGTTCTCGACTGTGCGGCGCATGGCCGACCTACCAACGGACCCTGTCCACGCTGCACGGCCAACGGGCGTGGGGGGACTCGCGTGGGAGGCTGTCAACGCCGCCAGATACGACTGTGGCGTGGGCAGCCGATGTAGTACGGGAGAAGATAACGACCGGGCGAAGACAATCGTTATCTGGTGGGTAAGGGGTAAGCTCATGCATCTTGCAGCTCACAGCGGAGAAGGCTTGCTTCGGCAAAGGCCTCTCTCTTCTGCCGCACAGAAGGTTAGGTTACAACTGATTCGCATTCGAGGGATAGGTTTCGACTCCTCGGCACCTGGAAGAAGGGGAGTGTCTTACGGAACATGTCCATTGAGGGGGCTTCTCGAGTCTTGGCCTGCCGCTCCGAATGCAGAGACGTGATGCATCGACCAGAGCCGGACATACAAATGCCGAGGGTAAAGTTTATCTACGGATAAGTTGCTATCAAACTCCTGGCTCGTCTTCATTTTGTCTTGCCCGCCGCTCCCATTAGAAACCAGTAGGGCCATGGGTACATGATGCAGTGGCGGGTTCTGTCCGGGTTGACTTCGAGACCGAGCTTATGAAAGAACCGGGAAGGGCTCACACGCGCGTACTGAGTGCTCTCTCGCGGCTTGGAGGTGCAGGAAATGTTCCACAGCCAGGGCAAGCCACCTGCACTTGTGTGATCTGTATTGCGTTCGTGCTTCCACTGCCTTGAGATTAATCGGGCAGGTCTATCCGCCTGGACACGGATAGTACTCTGTGGAACAAGCAATCGCCGAGCACCCTTGTAATCAAGAAAGTGTTGATGGACGCACACGCTTTCGTCATCCTTGAGTTATATATCTCTTGGTCTAATATATATCTTACACAAAGAGCCAGCGCTAACCATGGCTTCGATAGTGGGTTTAAGTCGCCCAGACACGACGCCAGGCAGCTTACCTTGCTTACCTTGCTCGCCATGTTCGCCATGCTCGCCATGCCCGTGCTGCTCGTCCTGCTCGCCAAGCTCGTCCTGCTCGCCAAGCTCGCCCTGCTCGCCGTGCTCGTCCTGCTCGCCATGCTTGCCATGCTTGCCATGCTTGCCATGCTTGCCATGCTTGCCATGCTTGCCATTCTGCCTTCACAAAGATTGGATATATGGAATTGAGTTGTGATTGGTGAGCCCAATGTTGTTGTGCTGGTCGTGCGTTATAAATCGTAGGTTCGAACCTTCTAAGGGCATCGTTAAATCCAAATCGGCGCCGTTTACGAGATATCTGGACACGTCCCATCCGCTCCCTGCAGCCTTTCCAAAAGAGTGCTTCGAAGCTTTGTAGGCTTAGACTTCTTATTTCTGCACTCCTGGTGATGGCCAGAGTAGTCTTCCTGGTGACCGTGCGGGCTACTTCCATGCGCCGGATCCTCACACGTCTCAAGTAGAACCATCTCTGGTAAGGCCGAAACCAATATGAAGTGCGACGGCTACATTTTCTGAGCAACCGCTGCATCTCAGCCACGGGTTTGGTAGGTAAGAGGGGGGAGGGGGAGTTATCAGGCTGCTCGTCTCTATCAGGATCTGCCCCATACTCAAGCAGGATCCGTAGTGACCTCAAGTGCCCCAGTGCCTTAGCCATCCCGAGCGGCGTCAATCGTGCCCCGGGGCCGGAATCGGTATCTGCGCCTGCTTGAAGCAGTAATTCGAGGCAATCCGTCGATTGCTGCGCTGCAGCAATCGCGAGGGGAGCTTGGGGAGAATTCCCCTTGTCCCAGTGATGGAGCTTCTGTCCAGCGATGTGTTTCGAGAGAAGCATATTGACTATTGTGACGTTTTTCTTGTTTACCGCCAGCTCCAGGGCCGTCAGTAGATCTGTGTCCCGCGCGGCTTTGTCGAGGCGCTTGTCTTTACAGATCAGTTTGACCAGCTCTGCATGGCTGACAATCACAGCGATATGGAGGAGTGGGTAGCTGCCACACACCACATTAACGTCCAAGCCATCAAGAGTAGGCAACGCTGTGTCGAGGGTCGCGACCTTGTTTATATTCAGAAGGCGCAGAATAGGTGTCAACGGTAAGTGAGAATGTAATGTTCGTTGCAAGTTGTGAGGAGCGAAACCGTTTGTGTGTGGGTTTTGAGATCACTTGTAGTGCTGGTGCGGGAGATGATGCAGTCGCTGGCATAGTCCCGAAAGTTCCACTCAGGTAACCGAAATGATTCGTCCAGCACAGTCCCGAGGACTAAGTAGGATATCGTGCTTCTCAAAGTAGTCATCATGGGGAGGTCATATCGCGGCTGCAGGATGCCATCCTGTGAGGCGTCCGAGGCGATACCAAGTAACGCAAAAATATTATCACGTTCATCCGACGCCTTGCAATCGCCGAATTGTTGGAGCAGCGTCCTCAGGCTCCGCGACTCGGGCTCTCTGTTATGCCATCGCAGAGGCCCTGGCATAACTGCCAACAGGGCCTGTTGTTGTGGGAGGGGCTCGATGCCCATAGCGGCCGGCATGAGAGCGAACGCCCTCGACCTGACCGCACTGTACCCTCAGACAATTGTGGCCGTTTTGGCGCTGTAGGCTTCCTGGATGACCCATATCCTTTCGAACCACTTCCTCGCGAGAACTTCTCGGAGTGCATCTCGCAGTATGCGAAGTTGCTGAGTCGGAATGCCGCCGCTTCCGTGCAAGAGAGCCGACCACCGGGCGTTCCAAGTCTCTATCGCTGCCCAACGAGGTATTTCGGTACTTTCGTTGTCGAGCCGTTGTATCACCTCGAAGAGGGTATCGGTCTCATGGCTGCCGAGTCCTAGCCAAATGATAACATCGTCGGCATTTTCGTAGATGAGCTTCATCTGGCCGACCTGGTGATTGCGCTCCTGGTGATGATCCTGGTCCATGCATACAGCGTCGACCCAGAGGAATGTATCTGTCGTCTCGCTTCGTAGATGATCCAGTGCATCATAAAGATTTCTTGTGATACCAAACGTCCTATCGTCAACTTTGATCTCAACGCGGTCGGAAGCATCGCCCCACGTGTACGACAGAGCCTTGTAGGGTATCAGATACTCGTTGTCCAGGATTGCCTGAACCAGATTGCATCGAATGGGATCGAAATGGCCACCTTTGCGAAGAATGAGGAGGCGAATGGCGTAGGTGGAGAGATCGAGGCGCATGTATGGAAATGAGGACATGGCGAGCTTGGTTTTATGGTTTGCCGTTGGATCAACTCCTTGGACGATGTGTTTGAGAATGACGATAAGGCTGGGTTAAGGATTGTACAACGAATGAGTCGGGGAACCAACGCTGAATATGTGTCTTTGGACGCAGGCTGCCACGAACAGGCTGTGCTTCGTGGTGGGTGTGAGGTCTACGCCTATCACGTTGCGTCGTACTATTCTGCTGAGCCAACTGCGCCATCAACGCCTCGACTTCCAATCAGCCTGCTGCAATGGTACATTCGTTGGTCCAGCAGGTCCGAGCAGAGATATCGCCTACGCAGGTCGATGAATCGTGAAGTCAATTAGCAAACCCAGCCAGTGCCTCCTCATTCGGCCTCGATATACAAATGCCCAAAAGTCTATACCTTTTTAAAGCCAATGCCTTCCTTGTCCTGGCATCCCATTACTCCTCACCCGAGCCTGACTGCCGTGTCCCGTTGATCTCTAATGCCTTATGCTTCATTTCGTCGTAATCTGTATGCTGAGTGTTGAATTATGAATGCCTCAATCAGTCTCTTGTGTCGCTTTGCTCAACCAAAATTTTAGCCTCTTCATCATCCTGCGGCGGGGTTGTCCTCCCTGCCATATCGTTCTCGACTTGTGACTGCTCTCGCATCTTCTTCAGCCTTTCCTCGCCTAACAAGGATCTCACACGCTCGATGCGGCCTACGGCGCCCTCAAGCCGATCGAGCCTCCGCTTCTTGTCCGCCTCTCTTTTCTCTAGCGTTTCAACCCGCTCCTCGAGAAGAGCCCTCGCTCGCCGTTCTGTTGCCACCATTTCATTGGCTTGCTCAAAGAGAGAGACGGACAGCTCTTCCACTTCCTGGTCCGTGGTGCTCAAACGTGACTCAGCAGCGCGGCGAAGATGCTGCTCATGATGCAAAGCAGAGAGCAGGTCGGCATGTGCATTCAGCGGGTGCGCTGGACCATCATCCCCAAAAGCCTCCTCCTCCGGCGCCGGGGTCCTTGTCAAAGTCGGCGTCGACGGAATGGAACTCGGCCGAAGATTAGGCGTCGATTTGCGCGACAGCATCGCTGAAAGGCGATTCGCAACGCCTGCGGTCGGCAGGAATGATGATCTGCTCGGAGATGGGAGGGGTTGTTGTGGCGGTGATTGTTGGGGCTGAGGCTGGGCGTTGACCTGCTTGCGGAGGTTCGCGAGCTCGTCCTCGTAATCGGCCCAACGGTCAACGGCAGCGGTGGCTTTCTGGTTCAGTAGACGGACCTGTGCCTCCAGGTCGGCGATGCGGGCTTGGGCTTCAAGGAGAGAAGCAGCTGCTTCTTGGATGTAAGCACTGTCTCTGTCTGCGGAGCGGGCCAACTCCTTTGTGGTGGGTTCGAGGAGTGGTGGGAGGACCAATCCGCAGCCTGGGCAGCAATGGGAGGCGGAGAGCGGCGGGGACGGGGGTTCGGTCGATAGCGAGAGTGTCGCCGGCAGTGGCGGCGTGGTCGCTGTCGTCGTCATGGTGAGAGTTGCACTCATGGTGTGCGCGTGCTGTGGTGGTTGTGCTCGAGGTATCCAGGAGGCGGTCTGAAAAGGCGTCTAGGCTCTTTGTGACTGTGAACTTGCGCCTACGGAGGAGGGAAAACGGCGACCGAGAATCAAGCTGGCCGAGTTGATGATCTCTCCAACAGATGATGGGGAGGGGGTCGCGTGGGGGCGGGAGGGGGCGCCTGGCATTTTATTCTTCCTGAACTAGGTACTTGGCTTTGACGCTGCGTAGAAGAACGATGGCTGGGCTAAGTATCGGGCTGGGCTTTGGGTTTGTGCCGGGCTGAGGTGTGTTCGGTGGCGGGGGGAGAGTCTAAAAAGGTGAAGCCCCCTCCAGGTCCCGGTCATTTCTCACATGGGCAGCTGCGCCCCTGCGCGGTACGAAGATTAATTAGGATTAGGCGGAAGGGACGACTGGACGAATGGGGGAGTTCCAAGGACACGGAAAGGAAGGGACCTGGTGGAACGAGACCAGGAAGGAAGCATGGATCATCGTAGTGCGTCCATAAGAGGCCCCACATTCTGGGGGCTGTCACTGCACTTTTCCAACGACAAGCCACATCGTTGAACGCACCAGAGGGCAAGGGGCACCTGTCAAGCTCGAAAGGACCTTATATTGAGGGAGACTAAGTCAGGCAGGCGCTCTGGGCTCAGCGCATTCCCAGTGACGACCCACGACCGTGAGAGCTACCTGTCCTCCTCATTATTGTGTCTTGGTTGCTTGGACATGCTCCAACTGCAGCGAACAGCAGACCTGCCACGCATCATCCTCGGTGCTCGACCTTCTACTCAAACAGGCCCAGGCCAATATGTCCAGTCAATTAACCCCCCGCCATGCCAGCTGCATCTGCCAAGGTGCTATCCGAATTTTCTGAAGCCCTCGCACGGCTGACTTGCTGAACCGATGACAAGGCCAACTCCTGGCCGTGCTTTGTCGGAGCTCCCCTGCTCTTTGCTCCTCTTGTCGCGAGTTGTCGTACTGGTACGACGGTCATGCTCATGCTGCCGTGTTTCGGACACTAACCTGACTGGGGGGGCGTACCTCTCGCCAACACGACCGGCAAGGCCGAGGGAAATCTGTCAGGTCGATCAATCGGCTCGCGGGAGTCCTTCCGGCGGACACTACGGTCGTCGATCGCATCGTAGAGCCTAGCTTTGTCTTCAGTTGGGCTTCGCGACCTTGCGCAACTCGCCAACCCCCGTTTCGGGGTCCCTGTACTCCTTCCAGCTCACAGGCACCATGTCGTTGCCAGCCTCACTCGTCGCCATGATGACTCCCAGCTCATTGCTCGCCGTCGATAAGTAGTAATTTGCCTGGTCACCCAAGGAGATCTGCCCTGCAGTCAGCACCATACTCACAATACCTTACGGCTTGCCCCCGGATTCGACTCACCACCTGCGCCTTCACAATGTCGCCAGGCTTGAACGCTTCATGGATCTTGATTTTGTCCTTCTCTGTCGCTCGTACGTCTTGCGACCGAATGACTCCTTGCCACTCCGTCTGCAGCACCGTGTCGCCAACCTGCTGAATCGACACTATCGCCTGCCGAGGCATCAGGCGCAGCACGCGGCATAGCACGATGTTGCTGACATCTGGCAGTGCCTCGCGCTTCTTGCCACCATGCCTCGACACCGAGATCGTTGCTCGGTCCGCCGGTGAGTTGAGAACGCCGGCAATGCGCGTTAGGCGCTTGGCCGGGCCGTTGGCTGAGGCAGGTGTGTCGACCGTTACTCGGCCGAGCAGGGAGGAGACGATGATGCCTTCATGAATGTGAGTACCGGCGCCGGAGCGGTAGCGAGAGGCTGGGCCGAGTGCGGTGCCGGGAACGGCAGTCTGAGGAATGGCGTCCGTTGCCATGGCCGGATGATCCGAAGTCCCAAAAACCCTGCAAGTGTGAGTGGGTTCTCTCGAATTCGTGTTCGGTTGTGAGGGGGGTGAGCGGTGGTAAAGATTTGGCGTCGCAAGCTGTCGCTGGTCAGGAAGGCTGGCAGGTGAATGAGTGAGTGGGAAATTTTGGTCTCGGTCGCGACAAGCAGCAATCGCTTCCCGCGGATCGCGTTAGTGCGTCAATAGGCCTGTGGTGCAGCTGGCGACCCACCACGGGCACTGCAAAGATCTCGTCTGACAGGCGCTTTCGGGACTTTGAGCCACTCCGTCTCGATTCTCAGGCCATCGGGAAGAGACGTCCCCGGCGGTGACAACAGGCAGAATCTGTTGTTAGGGGTCCAGCGAAAAAACACCCCCACAAGGCTTGTTGTGATCGACTGCTCGCTCGACTCTGCGAGTTCATAAGGGTTGCCGACACCTCCTACATCGAGCCCGCGATTCCATCTCAAGCCGATTGTGCTCCCACACTCCTTCACCTTTCACTCCCTGTGATATTCTCGTCCGCCTCATCCGCGCAAACATGTCTCCGCCGCGCAATAACAGCCTTGGCGGCTGGTTCTTCTTCCTGGCCACCCTTCTCGGTATCTTGACCCCTATCTACGTCGTTCTCGAGAAGAACCTGGAGAGCTTCTATGTCTTCGACCTCGACCACCTCCACGACCTTCAACTCCGTGCCATTGCCGAGCATGGCAACAACACGGCCGACATTGTCAACTACATCGTCGCCGAGCTGAACGATAAGCACCCGGACGTCGTGAACCTGCACGAGGAGTGGGTGTTTAACAACGCCGGCGGTGCCATGGGTGCCATGTACATCATCCACGCCAGTAAGCTCAGCCTACCTTCTAACCTATCTGTGACTCCAACTGACGTGATTACCAGGCATCACCGAGTACCTCATCATCTTTGGTACCGCCATTGGCACTGAGGGTCACACCGGCCGCCACACTTCCAACGACTACTTCCACATCCTCACTGGCACCCAGCTCGCCTACGCCCCCGGACCTGGCGTCTACACCCCTGAGGTCTACACCCCTGGCACCGTTCACCACCTCGTCCGCGGCACCGTCAAGCAGTACAGCATGCCCGAGGGCTGTTTCGCCCTCGAGTATGCCCGCGGCTGGATCCCTCCCATGCTGCTGTTCGGATACGCCGACGGCTTCACGAGCACCGTTGACTTCCCCACGCTGTACCACACCACGCGCATCACGGCCAGGGAGATGATTGGCAATCTCCTGAAGGGCAAGTTCTAGGCTTCGTCCTGGTCTGGCACGCAGGACACGCATAATGTGTAAGATATGTAAACCTGTAGAGATCTGATATAATGTTGTAATGCAGTCTTATGCCATCTTTGAGAGGACAATAGCCCCTTGAATGGCAGATGGAGTTTTCATGACGATATCCGCACCCTCGCTAAAAAAAAAAGTGCACCGTTTGCGTCATGTGACATGGTGTTTAATCAGATGAAACGAGTCTGCCAGGCAGACAATCTGTTCTGTAATTGGTATCATTGAGGCCGGTAGGCCCATAGAAAGCAATCCTGGACCTCAGCCATGTGATCTCATCTAAACGCTCCTGAAAATATCACCGAGACATCCCGTCTGGATGCTTCAATCGGGAAGAACCCCCTACTGACCGATTTCGGTAGTTGGCCTCGGCCTGTCCAACGAAGAGTCATGCTGCGAATTTACACGTGTTAGTCCTTGATGCCATCCCACTCCGACTCGTCGTCCTGGACAGTCTCGTTCACCTTTTGTGGCGATTCGGCCTGAGCCTCTGCCGCCTTGGGGCTCGCCGGCGCGGCTTTGACCACCGGCGCCTCATCCCCGGAGCTGGAGTTCTTCCTGCGCTTCTCCGGTTTGGCCCCCTCGGGCTGCTCCTCTTGCTGCCTCTTCTTCGAGGACTCGCTGCTGTGCTGCTGCACGCGCGGCTTGATCTGGTTGCGGTCATTGCGGAACGCGTCCTGCTTCTGAGGGGGGTCGGGATGCTTCTCCTTCCAGTCGGCGAGCAGCTCCCTGACCTGCGGCGCCCAGACGGCCTCGCCCTTGGCCAGGTCGTCGTACTCGAGGCAGTTCTGCTTGAGCGCAAAGTCGCCCTGCCTGTCGCGGCTCAGCTCGGCCATCATGGCGGCGGAGCCGACCTTGGTGCCGAGGTCGTGGCAGAAGCTGCGGACGTAGAAGCCCGAGGTGACGGTCATACGGATGCGCGCGGCGGGGGGTCCCTTGTCAGACCAGGGGGCGGTCGTCGTCGGCGGCGGGACGAGGTTGGCGCCCTTTCCTGTATGGTGTTGGGGCGCCGCGGGGAGCTGGCCCAACGCGCCGGACATTAGCGCTTGGTGCTTAGCAGAAGACGACGACGACGACTTGCGCCGCTTGTGTGGTGGCTTGTCCCTTACGAGCTCGTCCTGTCTCTCCTCAAACTTCTTCTTCTGGTCCTCGTGCTTGTTGACGGCGGCCTCGTCGGCGGCCTCCTCCTCGGGCGTCAACTTGCGCGCGTTGCCCTGTTGCTTCTCCACGCGCCAGACCTGCTCGGCGAGGTTCTTCTCGGCGGCCTCGGCCTCCTCGGTCGGCCAGTGGTGCTGGTGGGTGCCGGGCTCGAACCACTCGAGCAGCTCGAGCTCCTTGACCTCGACGTCGCGCCCGATGATCTCGCGGGGGATGGGCTTGTCCTCGCGGGCGTACTCGTAGAGGGGCTTGCCCTCCATCTTCAGGGCCGAGTACAGGGGCGGAATCTGCTCGAACTTGCCGCGGAAGCTGTCCATCTCCTTCTCGACCATCTCCCTCGTAATGTGGTCATAGGGCCTCCGGGTCAGTATCCTGCCAGTGCGGTCGTAGCTGTCTGTGCCGGCGCCGAATACGACGACAGTCTCGTACGTCTTGGTGCAGTCGAGAAAACCCTGCAGGGACTTTGTTCCCGAGCCGACACCCAGGATGAGGACGCCCGTCGCGAGGGGATCGAGGGTTCCTCCGTGGCCCATCTTGACGCGCGCGCCCTTCTTGTTGATACCGCGGCGCTTGAACTGCGAGCCCGACTCATTGAGGCGCTTGCTGATCTCCTGCTGCACGAGGGGTGCGAAAAGGGTCGAGGGGTTGAAGTGCTGCTGGCAGTCACGGATCACCTGGGCAGAGCTCATGCCCAGAGGTTTGTTGATGGCTGCATCGTGGCACAGGTCAACGGAAAGGTCTTGGGGTGCATTTTCCTCCCAGAGGCGACGGGGGAGAGGATGTGGCATAACGTACCGAAGACGCCTTCGAGAACGGTGTCTTTCGCCATCTTCCACAGACGTGCCGTCACTCGCATACGCTCACTATTTCGTTCAAGAAAGCAGACAGGCGATTGGTGCGAGAAAAACCACCAACTACGTGGTTGAACTGATCACAACGATTGGAAATGGGAAGAGAGCGGGGGGGGAGGATTTGGAAGCGAAAGGCTGGGGAGAAGTCGCAGCAATGGGACCTTCCTACCTGCACTTCGTTCCTACCCAGATGCAGCAGCGCATTGGATTTTTTTCTGGAGGGGCCGTTCCGCTATCTTATCAAGCTTTTGCGCTCCGAATGCCTACGCACGGGCTCTCGAATCCAGACCCACCATTAAAGAGGATCGCGTCGGGGCGCGTGTGCCGTGATCCCTACCTCGACCCCTCTAGCGTCCACTTCATGGATGGTGGGTGACCTGCTTCCCCAGGCCGAGTAGTCCACAGGGATTCTACGTCCCATACCAAATCGTATCGCTGCCAACTACCTTTTCCCAGAACATCCACCTTGCCTCTACACAGTACTGCCCTGCCTGGATCATCACCTATATCAATGTCCTAAATCACATCAACCGACGACCCGCACAGCAGCAACATGGGGAGGAAGCGCCGATCGTCCAACTCCACCGTCGCAACGGTGGACGAGGACACCATCACCTACGCCAAAGAGACGAGCGTCCTGAAGCTTGCGGTCCTCGACGAGAACAGCGAAGAAGAAACCTACGTTCTGGAGGATGTCACAGTCTACGGCAAGGATGGCCAAATGGCCAATCTCCTGTCTGTCTACTTTGATGGGCCTGTAGTCGTCCGCGGCTTCATTAAGGCTGACGAGGGCCAGCAGAACATGTGTATGACTGCTTCACCCCCCACTAATAAGAACTTGCAGAGATGTCTGACATGCCGCTTGACAGTTCGAAAACGCACCACAAAGTCGGCATACATCGAGATTGCAGACTGCGTACGATATTCCGTCGGCATTGCCGAGGGCGAGGAAAAGAGCCCATGCGTCTGGGCAGGCGGCAAGTGCGGCTGGTTCGAGATCAGGCCTCCTTCCATCGACTACACTCCAATCTACAACAAGATGGCGCAGGCTGTGTCGCTCTATTACAACATGCTCGAGGTCCATGATGCGCACAGAGAAGCCGTCAAGCTCAAGAAGGGCAAGAGAAAAGGGAAACGGCCGAGCAACGAAGAGGTGTTCAAGAGCTTGGATGTTGACACTATGTTCTTCCAGGTAAGCGCGCTTTTCACGTTCTCTCGCATCAACCGCTGACATGCGATGAAATCAAGTACGCCGTTATCGCTGGCGACGGCGCCCTGTATCACGAGGTCATTGACGCCTGTGACGAGCATGCCTCGTTTCTCATTTCCCATTGCTATGAAGAGGAGGACTTTGACTGGACCCACACGACCTTCTTTGTATGGCTGACGCAGAGGCATAAGGAGCTGACAGCCAAGGTCGAGGAGATTGAGAAGAAGAAGAAAATGGGCATAATCCTACCAGCAACGGAAGGTGTTGTAACGACACAGCAGACTAGCGCTACCGATCCGCCAAGTCAGAAGGCGCTTTCAAGGATATCGCAGCGAAGGGCGACGCGGTCGACAAGTGCTGCCGATGAAGAAGTCGACACGCAGGATTTCGCCCCGCAACGTACCTCTCGCCGGTCAAAGTCAACAGAAGAAGCTTCAGCCGATCCTGTTGCGGACGTCATGGATATCGACCCTCAACCTAAGACCCAAGAGAAAACCCTCGACGATCCTGCCGAAGCGGGTGGCATTGCCGAAGACGATACGCGCTCCCCTGGGCAGCGACTTGCTGACGCTTTTGAGTTCGTACGAAGCTATCACAATATCCCACCACAAAAAATGACCTTGGCGAGCATGAAATCGCAAGTCTACTACAAATATAAGATGAAGACTTATGAGGCACCAGCTGAGATTTTCTCATACTATGCAAGCGAGTTGTTGCCCTTGCTTGACGAGCAAGTCTGGGGAGCCTCTGCTCTGTACCGAGTCATAAAGGAAGCAGCCGAGCGGCCACGCATCACTCCGACCCTGTTTGAGCCCGCTTTGATCAATGAGTACACTACACCGCGAGCTAAGAATCCGGCCGCAGGCACGGCGACTGAGCAGCACCGAAAACCCATTGGGAAATCTCCCAGCATGGGTCACAACATGGAGACGCCCCCGCGTAAAGTAGGTCGGCCGTCTGGCAAAATGTCTGGGCTTCGACCTTCTTTCAAACATGCGCTCTCTGATTATGATTCGGAGGACTCCCGAGCCACAAAGGTGGCCAAGACAGCTCACATTGTCGATGGCGAAGAGGACAACAGTGAGTCTGATACCGAGGAAGACGAAGAAGAAGATCTCGCAGTCGATGGCCCGCCCCCTGTGAAGGTGGTCATCCGCACCGAAGCTCTCCTGGATACAACACCCAAGGGCCCCCATGGCACCTGGGTCTGTGATCAGGAAGACGATTGCGACTTTGTGGAGCGCAACCCAGGCGACAGTGACGGCCGCGAGAGGATACAGCAGCACATCAAGGACGCACACTACGAGGAGCAAGACGAGCACATGCTCAGCATCATGAACCTTGCCAAATTGGAAGGCGGAAAAGGCCATCTACCTGTTGAGTACGACGCCCCCTTCGACCCCATATACCACGTGTTACATCGTAACGGCCCAGTTGATCGCTTCGTACCCGCCACCCTGGTCTGGCGCAAACGATGACGATGCTCAGCTGGTACCCCTTTTCACATTCCAAATCACAATTTTATTTCACATGTCATGATTCGACAGTTCTAACAAATATCTGCCTTAGTCGCCTCTTAGAGAAAATCCGCGCCATGGGCGAGAAGACATCCAAGAACCAGCAAAAAACGATCAACGGGCAAACCGTCCCCCAACCAATCAAGCGCCGCTTGCTCATCTAAATCACAGTCCACGCTGTGCTTTGCGAACAGTTCGCTTAGCCATTCAGTCTGCTGTCCGCCTCGCTGCATCAAAGCCAAGGGGGGGGATGTGGGGCTCTTATGATTTGACGAAAAACCTATAGTTTACTTTGGCGTTTGGGGTATGCCGGGACTTTTGATGACATGAACTTTGCGAATACGGTTACCTAGCAAACTTGGAGAATGCTGGCTGACACAAGGAAGGACACATGTTTCTTCGGCGAGGAAGAGATCGGTTTCAAACGACCTCAGCAGGGCACGAACCAAGGCCGGGCGGATCCTCGACGACCTACGATGCTATGTGTAGGAAAGGAAATTGCCCTGCCCACCCTGTCGTCATGCGCCGAGTGAAATCTGGTGCTACGTACGTGTAGTTGTCATCCACGCCAAGCCTCGTCGGCACCCTCGTAGGAAGCCCATGTATGTTACATTGTGATTAGTGGACATTCACAGGCCCTTCGGGTCCATCGAAGCACATGGTGTACATCGTTGGAAGTGCTGCTTGGAATATCGAGTAGTTTTGTTCATATTGTTTGCCAGTTGCCTGCCGGGCCCAGGATCTTGAGCCTACTGTATGATACTCGAAACCAGATGGGAGGGGACTGCTGGCACCCAGTTCGGGGTGCCTCTCAGCCACCCGCCCTTCTAGGCCCGGCGCAGACCCGGCCACTTCAACATCTAGTCACACTGACGAGGCCCTCGTCCCACCCATAGATGAAGTACAGGTATTTGGTACCAGTTCTCCCGCCCTCAGTGCCTCGCCAGTCCGCGCCATCGGCTTGAGCTCGGCGCGTATCGACCACGAATATGGCCGCGCCTCGGAAGCTTCGAGCAACGTTTGGCGGAGAAACTCCCATCTGAAGCGTCACCAAAGCTATGGATGCCGTGTACTGAGGTGCCTTCTATGCTCCAACACTGCACTCAACCATGCTTAGACCCGTCTCGCGTCCCGATAGTCTCGGGCTGCCCTCCAAGACGCCTTATCGTCAGCTGAAAGCTCTGTGCTCAGCGTTTCCACACCGGCGCCGATGGCGTCAAAGAACGCTAGGCTCATTTCAAGGTCCTCAGCGAAGTTGATCGCATTCGGCACAAAGTTGGCCGGGAAGGCGCTCAGCCTCGCTTGCCGCACCTCTGGGGTGTCAGAAGTAGAGACCTCGGTCAAGAAGGTTTTGACAGCAATGCCCAACGCAACATCAGGGCTGTGAAGGAAGGGAAGTCTAGAAAATATTAGTCCGGTTCAAACATTCAAATCGCATGTTTTCACTTACCTCTGCTTCAATGATAGGTAATCATCTCTGTCCCTCTTGGACTGAGCGTGCAGGAACATTGAGGCAACGATAGCTTCGATGAGGTCTCGGTCTGCTTCTCGAACAGTCGTGGATAGTGAACGGAAGTACAGCAGGGGCTTGCTGAGTGGCCCTGTGTATCCATTGGCTTCGTGTCGCAGCTTCAGGAGAGAAGCGCAGCGACCGATGAGTAGGCTGCTGCCCTCTTCCGCATCGGCGCCATTCTGCGAGTTTCCATTGGCTTCTCCGTAGCCAGTGTGCGCATGCAAAACGCCAAGCCGGATCAACTCAAAGGCCATCAGAACAGCCTCGTAACCCTCCAAGCCACCAGGTCGGCTTTGACTCGTCCAGGTCTTGAGACTCATAATCGCCACGGCCAATGCGTTTCCCCAACCTGTTAAGCCATGGGCGTTATCGACATAGCCCCTAAGCTGCAGAAAGCGCCAAATAGCGAGCGAGGTGATCTCATCAGCCGAGTTGATGCCTTTAATGCGTTTCTCCTTGGGGAAGGTCTCCTTGGCAAAGTCAGGGAAGAGCAGTGAAAGCACTTCAAATGAAATGGATCCTGGCTTAGCGTCCGTAACCTCACTCTTCTTGAAACTACTTTCTTTAATGTCCCAAGTCGCGGCACGTCCTATCGGGTTAGGTTGGACGCCGGCGTGGTTGAGCTTTTGTGAGAGCTTGTCGTCGTACCAGACCTTCAACGAGACGTCTTGGCGTGAGATCCAGCGGTTCAGACGTGGCATCAACAGCGCAAGCGTCTGCTCCCGGATGGGAACAAGTTGGTTGGTAACCAGCTTCTTGTATTCTTCTGACACGGTGCCGTCGAGAGTCGGTGTAATGAAGATTTGGAGGTGAGTGATGCCGCTCAAGACACGGCCGCCGATCAAGCCCACGTTGAGATAGTGATAGAGCTCTGCCGGAAGTTGCAATCCCATATATTGCAAGTTGTCATTGGTGAGATGCTCGTAGTCGTTGACCTTCACTTCGCCCGACTCTGCAATGTAGACGAAATGAAGAACAGCCATCTTTGCGCGCCTGTATCTGTCCAGCCAGGTAGGGTCTTGCTGTTGCAGGACGTCACTGAAGGCAGAAGCAGACTGCGCTACAGATTTGTCGGCCGTACGGAGCATGTTCACAGCATCGTTAATCGTGTGAGGCTGGCGCCTTACGTACGACGTGTCCTGAAGCGGGGGGTAGGTGGAGAGAAATGAGGTGCCGGTCATGAGAAGGGCGTCGGTGAACGTAGTGTCATTGACATTGAGGGAGCGAATCAGACTCTTTTTGAAGATGGCCTTAACCTTCTTGTTCTCCCAGTCGAAAGAGCGAATGACGCCGTCGTTGATCGGGTAGAGAAGCAGCTCTTGCGACCCCATGACGCCGGCGCATTGGTCCGAGTCGATCATGTCCAGGTACGCAATCTGACACACAAGTCAGAAGAGAGGAAACAAGCAGCAGCAGGAGCAACGCCTAAGCATACCTGAGCTGATGCATTGTACGGTGCAACTAGGAAGTGCAGCTTATTCTCCTGGAGAATGGACTGGAGCATAGGGTACAGAGTCTGAACTCGGAATGCACCTAGAGGACCTGGGTCAGCACCGTCGCTACCTCTCAGGAGACTGATATTCCATACCGCTATTGGCCCCGAATGCAGTAACGGCTTGCTCCGCCTCACCCTTCGCGTAGAGGTTCCAGGCTTCGTCCGTCTTCTTGTTGGCCGCTTGCCACGCAGGGCAGCTACTTCATCCTGACCATGGAGAGTTTGCCCATCAAATATGAAGAACGGAGTGATCTTGTGGGCGTTCCATTGTTCTAGATCTTGACGTATATGGTAGTCGAGCCCAGTAAGCCCCCCTAGCGCGGACAAGAGAGGTTCGCGGGATGGAGGGGTATCGAGGCAGAGCTGCAAGTAGTAGGTCGCGTCGACGGCGATGGCACAGTCTTCGAGGTCAGATACGTTGGCGGTCCTGCACACGACAATTTAGTCACAGATCAAGAGCCTCGAGAGGGCTGGACTCACGTTGCCTGGCCGTTGATCCAGGCGTCTTCCACGAGAGCTAAAAATCTAGCCGTCAGCCCCAGTTGTCCCATTGTTGTTGAGAGGGCAGTGATCGTTTTCAACACAAAAACATCCACGCGGCCCGCTGGCGGAAGCTTGCGATGACCCTCATTAAAATGGCTTGGTATTGGTGTGACGTTGCATGCCAGCGCTGACCCTCAACAACCGCGTCGGTGGATGTGATGCTCGAGAGTCCAAAGCCAACAATGATGCCATGTGCGCATGGCATCGACCTCTCTGCCTACATACTATTGCCCCCGGGCGGGTAGTGAGGAGGACATCGAGCGGAGATCTAGGACAGTTTGTGGGACGCATCGAGCTTTGCAAGCATGTGACGAGGCAGCTTGTCGAGAGGAGGGACGTAATCGGTGGTCGTGGGAGGGGCGCATCGAAAGACGGGGTGGCAGAGCTGGAAGAGGATCGCAAGGGCACAGGCACTCACAAGGCATCTTGATTCGGATTGCGCAAGCTTGGCGGAGCTCCCCAAGCTCGATTGGAAGAGATGACTCCTCGTAGAGCAGAGCTCAGCTGTGTCGCGAGACCTCGTTGGAGATCAACAAAGGGGGGGGGGAGGGCGCCGTGGTCAAGGAAAACGACAGCTCAGAAGACACCCAAGAGAAGGTCTGAGCTTGTCATGAACAGAGACGGCCGACCGCTGGGCCAATGACGCCAGAAGAAGAAGGTCGTCCTTCGAAATAGAGGAGGATGAGTCGGCGACGAGGCGACGAGGGTCGGAGCGAGGTAGGTATTCGGAGAGAAGAAGTTTGGGGCTTGGGCAGACCTTCTGTCCGGTGAGGTCCAATCCAGTTCGTTCCTTCCTGCCAGCTAGGTTGGTACTCAGGTACTTCGGTCCTCAGGTACCTCTCTCTGCCCACTGTCTGGTCGTGCCTGTTGTGCCTGGAACACAGGTGCGTGTCACCGTGCGAGTACCGGGGGTAGGGCGCTTGACGGGGGAGGGAAACCCTTGAATTTCGGGGCGCTAACCGATTGACTGTTAGGGGAAGGAAGTGCCCGGCGGGTGTTTTAGACTGGGGGGTCCGCGCCAGCCGTGGCCTGTGGCGGTGCCTGGTGTGTCATTGGGTTGGGGGGGATTGCCCGCGGCTGAGATCTGGCCAGAGGCGGCGACGGCCAAAGTACCGACGACACAGCTCATGTGGCCCGTGCGATTTTGTTTCCTGCCCCAGTCATCTTGAACAGAGGTCACTTTGGGGGCGTTCACGGGTTCAATGCGGTAGCACGGATGGGGGGTTCAACTTGACTCCCGTTCGTCAACGAGGATGGGCTGAACAGGGGCTGAACAGGGGCTGAACAGAGGGAATAAGGAATACCGTGCTGGTCATCATGTACTGTAAGGTGCAGGCCCAGGCACTCAACCCGGGCACGTTATGTTGCACATCAACAGGCATGGAGGCCGATGTGCAGAAGCTTGATCCACACCAAGCACTGCATTGCATGGGACGGGCCGGGGAGCCAACGAGTCGTGTGCTGTCTATCACAAAAAAAAACAGCTTGCAACGAGAAACCTAACAGCGACATCGTGAGCACTATCTGATCTTGATTGGAGACTACCCATACCCACAGCTGCATATGGCTTGACGAATTCGCATAGCTATTCATGCATCTTGCTAGGTTCACTGGATCGTATATCAAGGTCCCATTCAGGACCCGGTCATGTCGAGATCTGGTTGGTGCCCCAAGTGACACATTCTCGTCACAACCGGACCCCTCCTTGACATCCCACCATGGCTTATCGCGATAAGGCTACCTTAGTCAATTGACTGCCCACCTCCCCCCTCGGCTGGTTTCTTCGTGAGGGAGTCATACATACATCTTGCGCATCCCAAATCCCGGCAGACCGATCATCAAAATGGCCCCAAACGCAAACATACCCATCATTGACGTCTCAAAGGCCGTTGACGAGGCGGATGTGGCCCGCCAAGTCGTTGATGCAGCTGCCGAGCATGGCTTCATCTATATCAAGAACACTGGTGATTTTATAGGCTTGTCTGATATCGACGGTGCTTTTGATCTTGTAGGTGCGCTCGCCCTTGACGACGAAACCCTCACTGACCAGCCAACGATCTAGTCACGCAAGCTTTTCAAGGCTCCTATCGACGAAAAGGCCGCCTGTTCTATCCAGACCAACAACCGTGGCTGGTCGGGTATGCATTCGGAAACTCTTGACCCCAAGACGCAAAAGGTAAGATGCTTTCTACCCGTCAAGACTTTTCATATTAACATGTTCCAGGTCGGAGACTACAAGGAGTAAGTCATGAATACAAAACAAGTCATGTGGACACGAGGCCCCCTAACAGGAACCCTCGCCAGAGCTTTCAACTTTGGAGAGTTTGCCGATGGCAAAGCCCAGCAACCCCTCCCCGCCACCATTCAACCAGACGAGCCCCAAGTCAATGGCTTCCGCGAACAGTGCCACTCGCTCTGCCTCCGCCTTCTCTACCTACTCGGCCTTGGTCTCGATGTCTCGCCCCCCGACTTCTTCTCCAGCGCCCACCTTCCCTCCCGTGGTCCCTCCGGCACCATCCTTCGCCTCCTGTACTACCCAGCCACTTCCGCCTCCAACGCCGCCCCCGACGCAGTTCGCGCGGGCGCCCCACTCGGACTACGGTTCCATCACCCTGCTCTTCCGTCTCGAGGGTCAGGCCGGCCTCGAGATCCTCACGCGCGAGAACGCCTGGGCTCCCGTCCCCGTTCGGCCCCCCGGTACCGAGGACGACGCCCTCCCACCCATCCTCGTCAACATTGGCGATCTGCTGAGCTACTGGACAAACGGATTGTTCCGGAGCACCGTCCATCGCGTCGTCTTTTCTGGTGACGCTGCGCCCGTGGAAGGCGAGTCCGACACAGGGCCGAGGTATTCCATTGCCTTCTTCTGCCACCCTGTAGGTGCGACGGCATTGGAGCCAGTGCCCAGTGACCGAGTGAAGAATTTTAAGCCCGAAGCTGGAACGCCGAACGCAAACCCATATGCCGAGAGAAAAGTGGTGACGGCCGATGAACACCTGCACATGCGACTGAAGGAAAGCTACAAGGACCTGTATAAGGAGGAGGAGCTGGCCAAGGCATAAACATGTCAAGGCATAGAGTCGATATTCAGTATCCAGAATCTTTGCTCAAACATCATGTTTTACGTCTAAAATGCCCGCGTTCTGCCTCCAGCAACCCATGAGCGTTTCGCAGAATCAATTACCGAGGGACGTCTATACCAACCCCACCCACCATTTCTTCCATGGGTTAGACTTTGCTGATGCCGGCGATGAACCCCTGGATGACTTCTCATGTTGGTCAATGTCTTCCAGCACCCGCCAGTCGTACATCTCGACCGACTCGCGTTCGCCATCAGGCAGTCGTAAGTTCAGTGCTTGAATCTGCTTCACAATGTGGCGAGTGGCTTCCACACGCCTTCGCTCGACAAAGCAAATCTTCCTGCGCCGGCGAGGCGGTAATATCAATCCACGCACTGCACCGTCTCGCACGTGGCTCAACTCGCTCTGGCGCCAGTCTTCAGGATCGGTCACCCATGACTTGATACCGTGCGCCGGTAGTATACTCTCGGTGACAAGGAGTTGGTTTGCAATACAGGGAGCCAAGAGAATTTCACGATTCCTCATCTTGCAACGGTGGCCTACGATCTGACATAAACCATCTGTGGCGGAAGGGTTGTAGACGCGCCGCCCTCATCGATGAAGTTGAAGACACAAGGGTCCGAGATGAAGCAATCTCCCTGCTAGTCATGACGGGGAATGACAATGGTGCGGTGTAGCTGCTCCTAGCAGATCGCTTCTGTTTGGTCGTGCTGTCGAGGGAAAATGACTGAGATGGTGTGAGACTAACTGGCGACACATTGTTGCAAACGTTAGAGAGTGGTTGTCGTGTTAACGAATTGCGTTGAGATGATTCCGCACGAGTCCTTGACCAATGCAAGTGTCCAGAAAATGCAGGGGCTGACAATGTGTTGCACTTCGGTCGCTTGTTTTCTGCTCGATTCACACAATCCTCAGTGCTGCCTCTCTTGAGGCCCTCGGCTTCCTGGATTTGATGCCGTAGACTCAACTCTTGAGTGGAGCATGGCTGCGTGTTGGGATGGTCGGGTTCCGCCAGTTCTGATGAAGCCGAAATTGTGAAGAGCGCAATCTTTGGGGCACGGTGAAGCTTTGTAGGGGTATCATCAGGAGACGCAATGTTCGAGAGTTGAGATGTTCTAGACTGTCGTCTGGGGGAAGTTGTTAACAAAGATGATGCCGTCGACTGAGTCAAGGCGTCGACTGCAACACCTCGAGGATCGGCGTCCTCCAGTAGGCTAATCCAATGGAGCAGCTCCTGGCTATCCTCCATGATGGGTATATTCCTAGCCTCCTCTGCAGCAACCTGCAGCTCAATGAAAGTCATGGTGTTCATGAACGTTCGGTCGAAGTGCACTTTCGAAACTTGTGGGAAACGGGGTATCCAGAATCCCGTGTTCCCAGGTTTGTCAAAAGAGAAGCATCGTATGTCAAAGACAAGGGGCTCTCGGAAAACGACCGTTGGGCGTTTGTCGCTAGTCATTCGAGGAGGGATCTGCAATTCCAAGCAGACATTCTCGAGGAAGGGAATCTCGAGCGTGTTACCATGGATGAGAATAGTCTTCATCATTGTGGTATTTACCTCAACGGTATCAATCACCATGAATTTAGGCTTGGTTTGGTGCCGTTGAACGTCCCCCTTGTTGATGAGACAACCGTAGTAAAAGTGTGTCCACTTCAGGCCTGGAATATTATACTCTTTTGCCTTCACAGGGTCGTATCGAGCCCCGATCACGGCAAAGTCTCCCACGTCGCCAAAGTTTCCGATATACTCCTTCTTCAACTTGATCGGACAACCGGCAAGCGACCGCTTATCCTTGCTGAAGTCAAAGTATGGATCATCTGGCTTCAGTACCAGGCCCTCCTCCCGATGAGTAATGGATTCTGCGAAAGCTCGTCGGAGATCTGAAGCACCTTGATGTAGGCTAAGATCAATCACCTGTCTGTGGACCAACTCAGCATGTCCGGTGCGACACATAATTAGGTCTCTGAGTCGGTTGAATCTGTCTGATTGACGGGTTCCCAGCAGAGACTCGTTATCGATGAGCAACACATCAAAGTAGACTATCATCAGATGCTCGTACGGGTCCGACCTAGTCGGTCAGCAACTAGAACGTATGTATGTTGCTGGAACAACAACTTACGGAGAGTCTTTTTGAGTGCCTAACGGAACGCCTGACCTCAAGACATATTTGCGTATTTTGTGAAAAGGGAGTACCCGACCCTCCTGTTTGCCGTTAGTAGATGTGACTTTTGTGAGTTTTGCCAGCCATTTTGTTTTACTCTTTCATTGTAGACCAACAATTCCCCCTCCAACACACATCCTTGAGAAATCTTCGGCTTGCTACCGCCTATACCCAAAGAGTCACGAATAGCCCTTCGCACCAGTCAACACCTGAGAGCTAACATAGGCTGAGAACTCACTTGTGAATGCCTACTCGGTCTTGTGTGCTATCCTTGCCGCTTTTGGAAAAGATCTGAACGCTTCGGGATCCCTTGCTCAGATCGACGTGCACTTGGCAGTACTCGCCGTCCATCTTCTTCTCACAGCTGATTCGCTTGGGATGGAGGCCGATGCAGTGTTTGATGCTCCTGCCCTTCAACCAGGTTTGTCGGCCGACCTTGGTCCCGAGAATTGGCTTGATGACGTGAACCAAGTTCTGTGTACCGATACCGAGCGGGTTTGATGCCCTCAGTTCCCGCAAGGATGTGAGAGCAACTCCAAAACTTTCTTGCACCCTGGCGATGAATGGAAGACGGTCATCATAGGATCCAAAGACAATGTTGGGGTCGAGGGCGGTGAGGTGGATTTGCTTCAGAATGATACGAGTCAACCACTTGGCCTCTCGAGCATCCACTTGGCGGTAAAGCTCGCCGAGTGTTTCTTTGTTCTCACAACCTGGGTTGCGGTAGGATTGGCGGACAGTATGAGAGCTGAACCTGCAGTTCGCAGCAAGCGTGTTGAGCAAAGC